GAGTTCCAATGCTGAATCTTCCTCAGGGATGTGTTTTGGGTCTGTATCCTGGTCCCTTGTTTCTCTTTCTTTATCTTGCTTCTTTGTATGGACTGTGATGCTCTGTTGTCTCTGAGGCATTGGACATTTTTGTGTTTATATTTAATTGGTGATTGTATGTTGAAGTGACCTGCCCAGGATTTTCGTTTTCTTTGTTTTGTTTGTATGTTATCTATGCAAGCAGGGTACCGTGCTGTGTTCCTCTATTCAGTTGTTGACAGCACTTATACACTCACCACCTGTCTCCTTTCCTGTTGACAGTCTCTCCTATGTCTCTGCTGACCTTGGCAAACAGAGCCTATTCTTAGGTCCCTGGAATCCAAATGAGAATGCTGTCACTTTATAATGCAAAATGGCCACCACTTGTAAACATTCAAAATGGCTGTGCCCTAGGTCACTTTAAATATCCAAAATGGTTGCTGTGTGTAAACACTCAAAAGGGCTTTGCCCTCCAGACAGCAGAAAGTCAACAGTTCAGGTTGTCTTCCTCCTTGTTGTTCCCCTTCCTAGTCATAGGCCACAAGCACAGTCGTCCCTGCAGCCCTTGGTCACCAGGGCTGATCTTTATGTCAATTCTCAGGTCCCAACACCTCTTGGAAATATTCAGGCTGTTGGTCCTGTCAGGGTAGCTGACAGTTTGCAGCTCCCACCATCACTGTACTCACAGTTTTCATTCAGGTTTTTCCACTAGTTGGTGCCTATACTTCTGTATAGTTCTTTTCAAAGCTTAGGGCTCAAGGATTATCTTCTGTACCTCTGTGAATTGGTTTTTCTTTCCTTTGTTGAAGAGGATCTGTGTTGCTTGTCTGCCTATTCCTCCATCTTACCAGAAGTCCCTGAAATGCATTTGTAATCATACGAAATGAAGCTCTGGTAGCATAGTGCCTAGGGCACTTGACTGCTAACCAGAAGGCTGGTGGTTCAAACCCACCAGTCACTTATAGGAAGGAAGGTTGGGCAATCTACTTCCATAGTGATATCACCTCGGAAACCCAAGGAGGGGTTGCTATGAGTTGGATCCAACAGGATGGAAGTGAGTAAGTGTTCT